AGTGGACGGCTTTAATTTAGAAAATAAACCAAAATCTTGGAAGCGAATTGAAATTTACACTAGTAGTTACAACGGTACTGGAAAGCTCAATTTCTATCGTTCCAGAAGTGGCAATAAAAGAGAAGGTTTCTGGGAAATCGATAAAGTACACATGTGTAGACTTTCCACGGGTAACAAAACAATTCTGGAGCTTCTATACATAGTTAGTTTATTTTTTAGATGTATACAATTTGACAGTAAAGAGTGAAAATTCTTCGTACTCGTGCAAAACACTAGCTCCTTCCAGTAGTAGTACTTTCTGCGAACAACCTGGACTTTTAGGTCACAAATGTACAGCCATTGCACCCTATTAGTTGCGCCACATGTAGGCAACCAACTACACACATAGTTGAATTCGCACGAATTCCAATGACAATGATCCACGGAGCAAAAAGTGCCACGTTTAGGGGTATATATGCAATGGGACACAGGGCGCGAAGCGCCCTGCCTTCACTAAATACCCGACGTTACATGTACGCGTGTTGTTGACTATAAAAAGTTAGGTTATGTTGGAAACGGCTTCCCATTGAAAAGTGGGAAATTTAACAATTTTTTTGTGGCAAAAGTAAGGATTTCTACAACATTTGAAGGTGAGGAACGTGTTCAGGGGGTGCTGTAGAAGAGTTGTGTGCAAACAGTTTGTGCGAAATCGTGAAGTGCCCTTTGTAAAATTTTACCTTTTTATATTATTATAAGACTTCTTGATTGCGCATGATGATTGGTTAATTTAGGTAACAGTTATAATTCGAATCTTCGGCTCTGACCGACTGAATTGTGACAAATGACATATGACAGTTGTCTGTGATTGACATTGGCAGCACAAAACACTAATAACAGTGAGAACATCAACATCAACACATAAGACGGCTAGGCTTAAATTTCATTGGTTGATTCAGCGGCAGCAAAAAATTTTTGCAGCCTAAGCAGAAATTTTTTTTCCTGTCAAGGCAGTGAAGTAGGACTTTGTATTTATCAATTGAGGTATGCAATGACCCGTATTTCTGACGTTTGAAGAAAAAAACATTTTATACAGATGTGATTGTGAAAATAAATATTGGAGATGACGTCATACTCCTACGTGATCTGGTGACATAATATAATAACACCAAAAACTAGATCATCAAAACAAATTGGTCGAGGATTATTTCGACAGAACTTCCCTCACCCCTGTATGCAGGCCCAAAAATCCCGCTTCTTTGAAAAATTATAAATTTTTTTCTTATTTTTATTTTCTCATTAGTTAAAAATTAAAACATTTTAAAGATCTAAATATTGAAAAATTAAAAAATCTAAAAACTAAAAATTCAAAAATTCTAAAAACCGAAAAATTAAAAAATCAAACCTTTTCAAAATGAAAAACCGAGCAATTGACACATCAAAAAATCGAAAAATCAAAATATCGAAGAATTCAAATGTTGAAATATTGAGAAACCGAAAATTTGAAAAATCGAGAAATCTGAAAATCGAAAAGCCGAAACATTTTAATATCAAAAAAATTTGAAAACCTTGAAATCGAAACATCAAAAAGTCGTAAAATCGAAACATCAAAAAGTAATAAAATTGAAAAACTGAAAAATTGAAAAATTTAAAAACCAAAAAATTGTAAAACCCAAAATTTAAAAATCGAACCATTAAAATATCGAAAAATTGGAAAAAATAAAAGTTGAAAATTTGTCAACAATTTAAATGTTGAAAAATTGGGAAATCGAGAACTTGTGAAATCCAGAAATCGAAAAATCGCGAAGTCAAAAAATTTTAAAAATAGGAAAACCGAGGAATCGAAAATTCGAAAAAAATCGAAAAATTTTAATAAAGAAATTTAAAAACTTTGAAATCGAAACATCGTAAAATTGGAAAATTGGATCATCAAAAATCTTCAAATTTAGGAATCGAGAAAAATGGAAAATCAAAAAACGAGAAATTGGAATATTGAAAAATCCCCAAATTGAATTCTCAAATAATTGGAAAATCTAAAAATCGAAAAGCCGAAAAGTCGAAAAATTGAAAAACTGAGAAATCAGAAAACTGAAATATCGAGAAATCGAAACATAAAAAACCGAGAAACGGAGAAATCGAATAATTGAAAATCGAAAAACTGAAAAATTGAAAAATTTAAAACCCAAAAAATTGTAAAATCGAAGATCCAGAAATCGAAACATCAAAAAATTGAAAAATGCAAATTTTAAAAATCGAACCATTAAAATATCAAAAAATTGAAAAATCCAGAAATTGGAAAATTGTCAACAATTTAAAATAAACGTTGAAAAATTGGGAAATAGAGAGCTTGAAAAATCCAGAAATCGAAAAATCGGCAAGTTTGAAAAATTTTAAAAACCAAAAAACCGCTTTTTCAAGACATCGAAAATTCGAAAAATCGGAAAACTGAAATATTAAACAATTAAAAAATCGGGAAATCGAAACATCAAAAAATCGAAAAATCGAAACATGAAAAAATCGTAAAATGGAAAATTGGAACATCGAAAATCCTAAAATTTAGGAAATGAGAAAAACTAAAAATCAAAAAAACGAGAAATTGGAAAATTGAAAAACCACCAAATTGAATTTTCGAAAATTGGAAAATCTAAAAATCGAAAGCCGAAAAGCCAAAAAATTGAAAAACTGACAAATCAAAAAACCGAAATATCGAGAAATCGAAACATAAAAAAACGAGAAATGGAGAAATCCCGAACCATTAAAATATCGAAAAACTGAAAAATTCAGAAGTTGAAAAATTGTCAACAATTTAAATGTTGAAAAATTGCAAATCGAGAGCTTGGAAAATCAAGAAATCGAAAAATCGGCAAGTTCGAGAAATTTTAAAAATCAAAAAACCGATATTTCAAGACATGGAAAATTCGAAAAATCGGAAAATATAAAATCTAAGAAATCGACAAATGGAAAAACTGAAATCTTGAAAAATCAAAAACAAAAACGAAAAATCTAGAAAATAAAAAATTCCCAACAAATCCGAAAAATCGGGAAATTGGGGAAACATTTACATGTTTAAATAGGAAAGCTGAAAAATCGAAAAACCGAGACTGAAAAATTAAAACACCGAGAAATGGAAAAATATAGAAATTGAAAAAGCCAAAAATCGAAAAATTAGTTAATGAAGAATTAATAATTGAAAGTTGAAAAATTTTAAATTTAAAAAAATCAAAAAATTGGAAAATTGAAAAATCGAAATCCCAATATATTGAGAAACCGAAAATTTGAAAAATTGAAACATCAAAAAATTGAAAAATCTAAAATTTGGGAAAATTGAAAGGGACAGAAAAATCGAGGAACTGGAAAAATCAAAAATTTTAACAATCGAATAATAATTGAAAAATAAAAAAATTGAAAAATAGGCAAATTGAAAAATTGAAATATTGAAAAATTCTAAATCTGAAATATCGAAACATTGGTTAACTGAATAATCGAGAAATCAGGAAATCGAAAAATGGTAAACTTACGAAAGCCAAAAATTGAAAATTCGAAAAATTAAAAAATGTAAAATAATTTTAAAAACCGAAATATTGAAAGATTAATGAATTGAAAAATTGAAAAATCGAACATCAAAAAATCGAGACATCGAAAAATTGAAAACTTGAAAAATAGACAAATTGAAGGATTGAAAAATTGAAAAATCGAACATCGAAGAGTTAAGAAATCAAGAGATGGAAAAATAAAAAAATCCATGAATGGGAAAGTAAAAAATTGTAGAAATCGAAAAATCGATTAACTCCGAAGTCAACAATTCGAAAAATCGAAAATTTAGGAACACCAAAAATTGAAAAACTAAAAAATCGAAAAAACTTAAATATAAGTAAAATGATTAATCAAGAAATCAAAATCAAAAAATATAAAACTTAAAAAACTGAAAAATTGGAAAACCTAAAGATTGAAGAATTGAAAAACTGAAAAACCAGAAAATCGATGAATAAAAAAATCGAGAAATAGTTTAATCCTGAAATCAAGAAATGGGAAAATCAAAAATTTAGGAACGCCAAATTGAAAAATTAAAAAATGGAAAAATTTAAAATTGATAAATCTAAAATTTCAAAATTGAAACATTGAAAAGTTCCAAGACTGATGTCAGGAAGTTGAAAAATCGAAAACTTAGGAAATCCAAAAATTAAAAAAAAATAATATCAAAAAATGAAAAATTTTAAAAATCAAAAAACCAATATTTCAAGTCATCGAAAATTCGAAAAATCGAAAAACTGAAATATTAATCAATTAAAAAATCGGGAAATCGAAACATCAAAAAATCGGTAAACTAAAAAATCGCAAAATATAAAATCTAAGAAATCAAAAACCAAAAACGAGAAATCAAGAAATTAAAAATCCCCAAAAAATCCGAAAAATTGGGACGTTGAAAAATGTAAATAGAAAAGCCGAAAAATCGAAAAACCGATACTGAAAAATTGAAACATCGAGAAATCGAAAAATCTAGAAATTGAAAAAGCCAAAAACCGAAAAATTAGTAATCGAGAAATCGAAAAAGTGTAAAATCTAAAATTTACGAATTAGAAAAATTGACATTTACAAAGAACAGAGAGCTGAAAAATCGATAAATAAAAGAATTTAAACTTTAGAAAATTGAGTAGTTCATATATCGAAACATATAAATTTAGAAAAATCGAAATATTGAAAAATTTCAAAACTGAAATATCGAAGAACCGATAAATCGTTATAGCGAAAAATCGAAAATTTGAAAAAGCCCAAAACTGAGGCATTGAAAAATCAAGAAATCGACAAATCAAAAAATCGATTAATCGAGAAACTAAAAACTTGAAAAATCGAGAAATTGAAAAAAAATAAAGAATCAATAAACTGATAAATGCCAAAATTGAAATATCGAAAGAATGAGAAATTGAAAAAAAATTGACACTATTGTAGGGACTTTTGCTTACACACGTTAAGTAAATATTTTATCGAAATTGATAAGATTACGTTGGATAAAATTCTAGAATGTTCGAAAACAGTGTACTAAATTCAGGGTGAAGACAAAATAAATGTAAGAATAATTAACCTCCCTAATCAAATTTAACTAACACGAATTTCATCGCTCTATCGTGTTAAACAACAAAGTTCGTATTTATCTGTTGCTATTTCCTAGAGTACCACACTAGTAAGTGAAGTACATGATTAAATAAATAATCCTCGAATGTATTTACTCACAAAGATTAATCTCGATAATACAATTTTTTCCGATAACGTAAAACGAAAAATACAAACTTACACTATAAAGATGTACTTGAATCTTCACATTTCTATATTCTGGATTTTGGTTACGCGAGCGTCCGCCGATGTAGTTACCCTAACTAAAAATCAAAGTATTACGTGTGTTTTAACAGAAGAAAGTGTTTATTCAGCTTTGTACATATCACCAAACTCATCAGATAATCCACTCATAGATAGCAAAAGAACGCTCACTGAATTAACCCGATGGGTTATAAACGACTGGAACGTAAGTACCACTCAAGAACTACCATTTTATCCAGTCGTAGATGTACGTTGGGAAGGTAAGAATTCAGTCTTCTATCGAACTAGATCTAATTCTAACGCTCAACAGAATTTCCGAACGTAAAAAATGCCCAAATTAACATCGCTCCAGCCAACGTTATTTCTTTCTCCTTGTGTTTCGTCAAAAGAATTACTCTGAACGCAGATGGCGGAGAATTCATTTCAATTGTACGGGATAAACACGAAAATGTGAGTATAATCTGGACTATAAACCCAAATGACGAAATTAAAACAGGTGGAACAAAATGTCTGTCAATGGTCACATTACACAGTGCGCCAAAACAAAATTTTGGAAATCAAATTTTCGGAAACCGCTGTCCATGAAATGGAAGTATGGAAGCTAGGATTTAATCCAAAATACATAATTTTAAGTGGAGTGAGAATAAAAACACACCAATGTAAGACCGTAATCAAAATTAGTATTTTTTTTAACTACGTATATTGGAATTTGTAGACGATTTCCGATACTCCCATCTGACTACTCTTAACAATGCGATCAGTTTTCTGAATATTAGCAATCTATCAAATTCTACCGATCTTTGCATTTCTTTGTTTGTGTCTGTGGATGAAAACTGCTATCTAGATGTAGTACTAGAATCAGGTACCACCCACAAAACTGTAAGAGTGGACGGCTTTAATTTAGAAAATAAACCAAAATCTTGGAAGCGAATTGAAATTCACACTAGTAGTTACAACGGTACTGGAAAGCTCAATTTCTATCGTTCTAGAAGTGACGATAAAAGAGAAGGGTTCTGGGCAATCGATAAAGTACACATCTGTAGACTTTCCACGGGTAACAAAACAATTCTGAAGCTTCTATAGATAGTTAATTTGTCTTTTAGATGTATACAGTTTGACGGTAAAAAGTGAAAATTCTTCGTACACGTGTAAAACACTAGCTACTTCCAATAGTAGTACTTTCTGCGAACTACCTGGACTTTTAGGTCACAAATGTACAGCCAAATGTGACCAAATTTTAGGACAGTCGTACCCGTTTTGTGAAGGTTATAAGATTTGTTTGGACAATGGAACTTGTGAGTGTTCATGGGGGTTTAAAGGAACGACGTGTAACCAAAGTTGGTTTAATTTTGAGAAGAGTTCAAAATTACTCCTGAGTTTATTTTTAGGTTGTACTGGCGACAATTGGGGCCGTGACTGTGCGTCAACTATAAATTATGGGAATTGTGTGAGTCACAACAACAAAGTTGGTTGTTTTAAATGTATGAAGAAATTTACTGGAAGACAGTGCACAGAAAAACTACCAGTTGTGCTAAAACCTCCTACGTTAGTTTCCGCCAAGACAAATTTTGCTGAAATTTCGTTTAACTTGACGTATGGTGAAGACGAAAAAGAACCAGACTTTTACCAAATTCAGTACAAAGAAGTAATGATCTTTTTCGTAACGAATTTTTGTTAATCACTCTGATTTCAGAGTAACGGTACCACTTTCGAAAATTTTTCTGATCTAGTACCCTTCCAAAAATCCCTCTCAAACGGAACAGTGACCATTCCAACGAGTTCTTTCGGTTACAAAATTCGGGTGTTGTTGTTCGTAGGAAACGAACACTATGAAGAAGGAGTACCTGAGTTGGTAACAACCCCCACATCAAGAAAAAATTGGTACATAGCTATCATTGTTATATCAAGCATACTTAAGAATCACTGGCTATTTGGAATCCTCACTGGTGTATTTTTCTTATACGTTGTATTGGTACCCGTATTTCTCTACTTCTGTGGAAAAAAGAATAAAGCCAACGGTCCACAAGTCGAAGTAATAACTTTACTATCTTTAGACGACAGCGACACCAAAAACATACCAATTAAGGAAATAGAAACTTACGTAAAAGCTTCTGTGGAAAAAAAATTGCTAAGCGAGCAATTTAAGGTTGTTTTTGGTAACAAGCTCCCATTAGTTATACCATAGTTCTGTGTTTTAGTTGTTAGCGGATGAAAAATTTGGAACTTGTGAGGTGGCTCTGTGGGAGGAAAATTTAAAGAAAAACAAAGACCAGCGTTACATTCCATGTACAATCGCACGCAAATGTTTTGAGCCTATGGGCGGATCGTTTTTGCCTGCCCTCACCGAAGAAGGCGGTCCAAATCCTTCAAGGGCAGAATTTGTAGGTAGGCTCAAACTACAACGAAATTTACATTTGGTAAGAAATATTTATGGCTCACACCAGTTCTCTCGAATTTGTCGGAGAAGATTTAGCAGGTAGTTGTTCCCATAAAATAATGGTCACTTTCGTTCGTGAGTAACGATGGTCCGGACATGAATTATTTTGCTATATAACATCTTTCGACCAATTGTTCCGTATAAAAAATTTCATCACTTTTTCAAATAAAATACTCTTAAAAAAAAACGATATTGTCGTTGAGTGACATGTAACTGGTATAATAATAAAAACGTGCCATTTTTGTTAACTGATATTTTTTTCATAAATGTCGCAAATTTATTAAATTTGTCTAATTATCCCCACAAATAATGTGATGACGTCACTTCAAATTTATGCATAGGAAATGGGTTTTAAATTGTATACAGTAACATAGTCCTACACATGTAGTTTGTGACTCCGTGTTGAGTTTTTATTATATTTTGGAAGAAAAATCAAAATTATGAAACAATATTTTGCAATTTAATTTTGAATTTGCAAAATCGAATAATTTGAAATCTTGCAGATGTTTTAAAGTCATGATAAACATGATTTAATTAAAATATATTTGCTTATCCCCTCTAAAAAATTTATGACGTCACCTCAATCTTACATGTATAAAATATGATGAGTTTTTATACTTGTGATTTATCACTGCATTAATATTTTTTAGATTTGGTTATACAGGGTGTCTCAAAACAGTTAATGACTGAGTCAATTTATTTTATTGAAGAAATCAAGAATAGCAAAACTGAATACTTTGAAATATTGTAGATGTTTCGAAGTTTTTGTAAGCATGGTAACTTTTTCGAAAATTTGATTAATCAAATATGCGCAAAATCAAAAATCGGAAAAACTGAAATTCACTAATGCAAAAAACAGAAAATCGAAAAATACAAATCGTAAAAATCGAAAATCTAAAAATGGCTAATCAAAAAATCGAAAATTCAATGAATCAAATACCTAGGTCGATCGAAAAGTGGAAATTCACAAACCTCAAAAATCGAAAAATCGAAAATTGAAAAACGGGAAAACCAAAAAATCGAAAAGTCAAAAATTTGTAATATTGAAAATTAAAAAAATCAAAAACAAAAATAAAAAAAATCGGAAATTAAAATAATCAAAATATATAAAGTAGAAAAAAATTGCAAAGCCTAAAAACTGAAACGAACAGAAAATCTAAAAAGCAAAAAATTGGAAAAACAAAAATTCGAAAAATCTAAAATCGAAAAAGTGGAAAATCGAAAATCTGAATAAAGAAACTTGGAAATTCTGAAAATTGGAAAATCGAAAACCAAAAAATCGGGAAGTAACAAAATTGAAGTCTAACAGTTGAGAACAGAAAAACTGAAAAACCGAAAATTCTAAAAATCGACAATGGACAAATTGAAAATCGCAAAATTTAAATTGAACAATTGAACATAGAAAAATCGATGAATTGAAAAATCGAAAATTCGACTACTCAAATTTTCTAAAAATCGAAAAATCAAAACTGAAAAATCCAAAATTCTAATAATCGAAAGTTTGAAAACTGAAAATCGAAAATTCTGAAAAGCGGAAAATAGAATATCGAAAAATTTAAAAGAAAGAAAATCGAAGTCTAAAAACCGAAGAATGGAAAAATTAAAAATCAAAAATCTGAAAATTGAAACTCGAAAATTTGGAAAATCGAAAAGTAAAAAAATTGAAGTCTAAAAGCTAAAAAATGGAAAACTGAACAATCGAAAATTCGAAAATCAAATATCGAAAAATCGAAAAGCCGAAAAATCGAAAATTTGATAAATCAGATATGCGAAAAACAGAAAATCTGAAAATACAAAACTGGAAAATCAAAAATTTAAAAATGGAAAAACCGAAAATCGAAAATTCAATGAATCTAATACGTAGGTCTATCGAAAATTTGCAAGATTGAAAAACCGAGAATTGAAAAATCAAAAAACCGAAAAATGGAAAAATCAAAAATCGAAAAATAGGAAAACCGAAAATTCGAAAATTCATAATATTGAAAACTCTAAAGTCGACAATACAAAAATCAAAAAATTGGAAAGTAAAATAATCGAAAAATCGAAAAGTAAACAAATTGCAAAGCCTAAAAACTGACGAACAGAAAAATCGAAAAATCGTAAAATCAAAAAGTGGAAAATCGAAAACTGGAAATTGAAAAATCGAAGATCGGAAAATCGAAAAATCGAAAATCGGAATATCGAAAATCGAAAAATTAAAAAACCGAAAAATCGAAAAATTAAAAAATCGGAAATCGAAAAATGAAAAAAAAACGAAAATTCAAAAATCGAATAATCCGAAACTAAAATAATAGAAAAGTGGAAAAGTAAAAATTGCAAAGTCTCAAAACTGACGAACAGAAAAATCGAAAAATCAAAAAAAATCGAAAAATATCTAAAAATGGAAAATCTAAAAATCGAAAATCGGAAAATGGAAAATCCGAAAAATCGAAAATCGAAAACTCGAAAAATCGAAAATTCGATGAAACAAATTCTCGAAAAAACGAAAAGTAAAAAAATTGCAAGGCCTAAAAATTGAAAAATCAAAGAATCGGAAAAATGAAAATCGAAAAAACGACGATCGAAAAAAAATAAAAAAAATCGAATAGTGGAAAATCGGAAAGTAACAAAATTGAAATCTAAAAGCTGAAGAAGGGAAAATTCTAAAAAGCAACAATCGAAAAAGGCAAAATTAAAAATTGGAAATTTGAAAAATGGAAAATCGAAAACTCGAATATCGAGATTTTGAAAAATCGTAAAAGTGATAATCGAAAAATCTAAATGCTCAAAAATCGAAAATTCGATTAATCAATATTCTAAAAATCGAAAAAACGGACAGAAATCCAGAAAAAATTAAAAAACCGAAAAATTGAAAAATCCCATATCGAAAAATGGAAAAACCGAAAATTTAAAAATCAAACTATCGGAAAGTAAAATAATCGAAAAATGGAAAAATAAAGCAAATTGCAGAACCATAAAAACTAAAACAAACAGAAAATTCGAAAAACCACAAAAGCGGAAAAATCGTAAAATCAGAAAATGGAAAATCGAATAATCGAAAGTTGAAAAATCGAAGGTCGAGAAATAAAACAACCGAAAAATCGAAAAATTTAATGATTAATGGAAAATTGAAAAATCGAGAATAGAAGAATTAAAAACGTAAAATCGAGAATTCAAAAATCAAAAAATTCGGAAAGTAAAATATGATCGAAAACTGCAAAAAAATTGCAAAATCTAAAAACTGACGAACAGAAAAATCCAGAAATCTAAAAATGGAAAGACGAAAAATCGAAAATTGAAAGAATGGCAAATCAAAAAATCGAAACATCGAAAAATCAAAAAAACGAAAAATTAAAAAATCGAAAAACGAAAAGACTAAAAACTCGAAATTTCAAAATACCGCAAATTTGAAAAATCAGAAAATTGGAAAGTAATAAAATCGAAAAGTTGATAGAAAAATTGAAACTGAAAAATCTAATTCGATGAAATGGTTGGTCGAAAAAACGAAAAATCGAAAATCGAAGTGATATTTTTTGAGACAGGCTGTATAAGTAAATCTAAAAAATATTACTGCAATGGTAAATCACAGGTATAGACTCATCATATCAAATTTTACGATGACGTCATGCATTTTTTGGCGAAGATAAGCAAATACATTTTGATCGTGGCTTTGAAAGTATTCTTCGACTTTCGTTCCATTTCAAAATTTACTCTTTGTATATTTCAGTGGCACATCACAGATATTGCAAAAAAAATTGGGCTCAGATTCCAACTAATTGACAAGATTTCAAAGTATTCAGTTTTGCAATTCTTGTTTTCTTCAATAAAATAAATTGACTCAGTCATTATTTTTTTTGAGTCACCCTGTATGTATAAACAAATCCAAAAAATATAAATGGAATGGTAAATCACAAGTATAGACTCATCATATTCTGAACATTTTAGACAGGGTATTTATAAAATTAAAACTAATTCACAGGAAGAATTTGGTCAACACGTAAATTTCGTTGTAGTTTGAGCCTACCTACAAATTCTGCCCTTGGACGATTTGGACCGCCTCCTTCGGTGACGATCGGCAAAAATGATCCGCCCATAGGCTCAAAACATTTGCGTGCGATTGTACACAAATTAACTGCAACCCGAATTTGATCCCATACTTACATTTTTTTTTCTAGATGATTCCACAAGAGTGATTTTGGGAGACTTGGAAGACGTTGGTACCGACGATTACATAAACGCCAGCTACATAGACGTAAGAACTCATTTACCATTGTCAAAGACGTTAACCTAAATTACACAAACTTACAGGGTTTCAGACACTGCAAAGCTTACATCGTCTACCAGGGAACCAAGGACACCGAGACCGACTTCTGGCGGATGATTTGGCTAGAAGAAGTAGAAACAATGGTGCTAGCTGTAGACTTTAACGACGACTACATTGTTAGTATACACCCAGCAACAATATAAACACCCACTTGCCAAATTTTTAGAGAGAAGATTGTTGGTCTTCGAGTTTGAATTCCGTCAACACCTTCGGCGCCATCACTGTCAGAAACGTAGCAGAAGGAACTCACTCCAATTACCACGAACGAGTTTTCGAGGTCACTTATATGAAGAACCAAAGACAGGTGCGGCAGCTACATCTTAGTTGCTCTTGGCCGCTGTACCCAGACGAGCTTTTGCCCATTTTGAAACACCTGCACCAAACTTCCAGAACGAGTCTCTCCCCGATTGTGGTTTATTCTGGGTCGGAAACCAACAGAAGCGGGACTTTGATTCTGTGCGATTTGGCTCTCCATATGGGTGAAGCTGAAGGTAGCGTCAACTTTCATGTTCTTCTGGGTAACATGAGGCAACAGAGGCCACATATGGTCAACAATCTGGACTATTATGTCTTAGCTCATTTAACAGTACTGGAGTTTCTTCTAGACGAAGTAAATCCGTTTAGGACGAAACTTACAGACAATTTAGACGCTAAAGTGGTTGAAGAGCAGTGTAAATACTTGGAGAAGATGTTCTGGGCCGACTCGGTGGTTCAGAATTTGGCTCCACAACCGAAAATGAGGAATCCGCTTCGTCTGACTTTTGGTAAAATCTTGAAATTTTTTCTAACTCAACAAGTCTTCAACTTCTCGATTTATAGTTGACGGTTACCAGAAACCTAATCGATTCTTACTTTGTCAGCAACCCTCAAAAAGACTGTTGTTGGAGTTTTGGGAAACTATCATTAGTGAAAATATTAGTCACGTGTTATTTATAAATGCGAACAAAGACAAAGTGAGTTGTTTGGTGTAACATAGAAGGGTGTTAAGTTGTTGGTTTTAGTTATGGCCGTGCAAGTTTACCGAATCTGGTGTAACCATCAGTGTTATTCTGCAGACGTATGTAGAAGTTACGCCATCGTATACTCTTGCCAGGTTGTTACTTTCCAAGTACAGTAAGGACTCGAACAATGTAAAAATCTAACCGTTTTTAATTAGTATTCTAGACGATTTTAATTGTAGGGGAGAAACGGTCAAGAAGTATTATTTTTTGAATTGGTAGACTGGAACTTGAAAGAACAGATACCACAGTCCATAGACAACGCACTTATTACAGTACACTATATTAACAAAGTTATGGAAGAAAATGAGACACCTATTTTAATTACTACCATGTAAGTACACTAGTTGTAACCGGCGAACATAATATGAGCTGTAGTTTATTACGAAAAAAAAGGGTTTAAAGAATTATTTCTAAATTTTCGATTTTTCAAGTTTTCGATTTCTCGATTTGTTGAGTTTTGGAATTTTTCAATTTTTTGATTTCTCCATTTCTAGATTTTTCGATTTCTATTTTTCAGTTTTTCCAATTATTCTTCAATTTTTCGGTTTTACAAGTTTTTGAATTTTCCACTTTTCAATTTTTCAACTTGACGATTTTCCAATATTTTGATTGGGATTTTCGGTTTTCTAATTTCTACGATTTAAATTTTGGAATTTGTGATTTCTCAATTTTTCAATTCTTCGATTTTTCATTTTCAGTTTTTGGCATTTCTAGATTTTTGATTTTTCGATTTCGCGATCAATCGATTTTTCAACTTATCGATTTCCAGATTTTTCGACTTTTAGACTTTTCAGTTTTTCCAATTAATCATGAATTTTTCAATTTTACAGGTTTTTGATTTTTCAATTTTTTAAATGTTCGATTTTTCCTTTTTCGAGATTTTAGTTTTGGGATTTTTCATTATTTCTATTTTTCAATTCTTGAATTTTTCGTTTCAATTTCTCGAATTCTCGATTTTTCAATTTTCCCATGTTTTATTTTTCAGTTGTACGATATTTTGTTTCTATAACGATAAAATATCGGTACCAATAAAATGTGCTCGACTTTTTCTTTCCCATCTGAAATTTATATTTTCGTCCTTGTCATTTATCGCTTCGTTATCGCTTCGTATCGTATCGGTAGAAACAAAATCCCACCCCAGGTCAGGTTCGGTCAGGCCAGATTTGTTTGGAAATGATTTTTTCCAAAAATTAATCAATACATTTAACTGATTCATTTTTTTTAATTTTGATAAATTGAAAAATTCACATAATTGAAATATTGAAAAATTGAAGAACTGGTAAATCAAAACTGGTGATTAAAAAAATTTTAAAATCGGGAAATCGACACATCAAATGGAAAAATTGAAAAATCGAAAAATGTAAAATTTAAGAAATCAAAAAATTGAAAAACCGAAAAACTGAAAAACCAAAACTTCGGAAATTAGAACATGGATGACGGATGAAAATCGGCAAGTCGAAAAATCGAGTAAATGTAAATAGCTCAAAATCGGAATATTAAAAAAAAATCTAAAAATAACGAATTAAGGAACTCCAAATTGAAAAATTGAAAACTTCCAAAACCGATATCGAAACATTGGTAAATGATAAACCCAAAAATCAAAAACTTAAAATATCGAAAAACTGAAGAATTGGATAACTGAAAAATCGAGAAATGAGGGTCGAAAAATCGAGTAATCCAGAAATCGATTAATCGAGAAATCAAAAAATCGAAAAATCAAAAATTTAGGAACAATTTGAACTCGAAAAATGTAAAATTTTAAAGATCGAAATAGTAAAAGATTCCAAAACTAAAATATTGAAACAAACTAAAAATTCGAAATGTCGAAAAATTAAAAAATTGAAAAATTGAAAAATCGAACATAAAAAAGTCGAAACATCAATAATATAGAACCAAAAAATCTATGAATTGAAAAGTCAAAAAATCGAGAAATCGAAAAATTGATGAACAGGAAAATCAATAAATCGAAAAATCGGAAGCTTAGGACCACTAAAGATTAAAAAATCGAAAAATCGAACATTTTTAATCGAAATATTTAAAATTAAAAAATCGAAATATTCGATTCCAAAATTCCAAAAAATTTAAATGAACTCATAAATTGCAAATTCCAAAATTTACATTTAAAAAATCAATAACCTGAGAAATCAAAAAACTTGAAATTTCTAAAGTCGAAAAACGAGAAATCCAATAATTGGTATCCTCCAACTGATTTTTACAAAAACTGAAAAACCAAAACTTCGAAAAATTGGAACATCGATGATGGATGAAAATCGGTTAATCAAAATTAATAATTGAAAATTTTAAAATTTTTAATCTAAAAAAAATATAAAAAATCGGGAAATTGAACAATCGAAAAATTGAAACATCGAAATCTCGACCAATCGAGAAACCGAAAATTTGAAAAATGAAAATTTTAAAGTTTTTAATTTAAAAAAATAAAAAAATCGGGAAATTGAACAATCAAAAAATTGAAAAATCTATAATTTAAAAACTTGAAAAATTGAAAGATACATACAAAAATCAAGGAACTGAAAAATTGAAACACGTAAAAATCAAAAATTTTAAAAATCGATTAATAAATTGAAAAATTAAAAAATTGAACAATCGGAAAATTGAGAATTCGAACATAGAAAAGTCAAGAAATCGATAAAATAGGAAAATCAAATAATCTATGAATCGAAAAGTAAAAAATTCGAAAAATCGATTAATCTTGAAGTCAACAAATTGAAAAATCAAGAACTGGAAGCGCTAAAAATTGATAAATTAATAAACGGAAAAATTTAAAATCGAAAAATCTAAAATTTAAAAAATCAAAATATATACATATTGAAAAACTCCAGAAATGAAATATCCTAAAATTGGTAATTCAATAAATCGGAAATTTGAAAAATCCCAAATGTGAAACAAGAAAAATGAGAAATCGAAGTCGAAAAGTCTAACACTTAAAATATCGGAAAATTGAAAGACGAAAATCTGAGAAATCTGAAAATTGAAAAAGTGGAAAATCGAAAAATTGAAGGAATAAATAACTAGAAACTCGAGAAATCAGGAAGTCGAAAGATCCTGTAATTTAAAAATCGATTATCCAAGAAATCAAAAAAACTGAAAAATCGACAAATCTGGAAATCGAACATAGGAAAGTTGAGACAACGAAAAATGGGAATCAAACAATCGATGACTCGAAAAGTCAAAAGATCGAGAAATAGAAAAATCGATGAATTGAAATCAATAAACTGAAAAATCAAAAAAATGAGAAATCAAGAAATCGAAGACGAAAGATATAAAACTTAAAAAATCCAAACACTGAAAAAATTATTAACCTGAGAAATCAAAAAACTGAAAAATTGGAAAATCGAAAGATTGAAGAATGGAAAACTGAAAAAACGAGAAATCGAGAAATGCGAAAACCAAAAAATCGATGTATCAAAAAGTCGAAAAATCGAGAAATTGATTAATCTTGAAATCAAGAAATCGAAAAATCAAAAACGCCAAACTGAAAAATTAAAAAATGGCAAAATTTAAAATTTCAAAAATCGAAACATTACAGTTAATTGATTCATTTTTTTAACAAATTATTTAAAAAAAAATCCACGTATGAATCTATTTTTCGGAAAATCGAAATACTGAAAAATCGCAAATTTAAAAAAGCGAAAACATCAAAAAGTCGAAAAATTGAAACTTTAAAAAATCCAAGAATTAAAATATTGAAAAATTTTAAATCGATAAATTTAAAAATTCACAAAATTGGAATGTTGAACATTGAGAAATCGAAAATTCGGAAGTCGAAAAACTAAAAAATCGAAAAACCAAAATTTCGAGAAATCGGAATATTCGGAAAATTGAAAAATTGTGATGATAAAAAATTTAAAAATCGGGAAATCGAAACTTCAAAAATTCATCAACTCGAAGAATTGAAAAAAAGAAAAATGTAAAATTTAAGAAATCGAAAAATTGAAAAACCGAAAAATCAAAAAAAGGAGAAATCGAGTATTGATAGATCTTCAAATTCAATTCTCCAAAAACTAAAAAATTAAAAACTTCGAAAAATTGGAACATCGATCATGGATGAAAATCAAAAAATCCAGAAGTTGGTAAATAGCTCAAAATCGAAAAATTAATAATTGAAAAATCGAAAAATTTAAAATTTAAAAAATAAATAAATCGAAAAATAGGGGAATTAAAACAATTTAAAAAAGATTGAAATATCGAGAAATTGAAGAACTGAAAAATTAAAGGCCGGAAAATCTAAAACCGAGAAGCCCAAAAATCGAAAGACCTAAAATCTAAAAATTGGAAAAATTGACAAATACAGAGAAAAATCGAGAAATGGAAAAAAAAGAATTTTAAAAATCGAATCATTGAAACATCAAAGAACTGAGAAATAGACAAATTGAAAAACAGAAAAATTGAAAAAATGAAAAATAAAAAAAACAGAAATCGAGTAATTGATAGATCCTTAAACTGAATTCTCCAAAAACTTAAAAACCAAAACTTAGAAAATTGGAAAATCGATGATGGGTGAAAATCGATAAGTCAGAAAAATCAGGAAATTGATAAATAGCTCAAAATGGAAAAATTAATGATTGAAAATCGTAAAATTGAAAAATCGGGAAACTGGGCAATCGAAACATCGAAATCTCGATAAATCTCTGGAAAAAAAATGAATCGAAAAGTCGAAAATTCGAGAAATCGGAAATTGAGTAATCTTAAAATCAAGAAATTGAAAAATCAAAAACTTAGGAACCCCAAAAATTGAAAATTGAAAAATCTAAAAATTTAAAACAGAAAAGTCTCAAATTTTAAAAATCGAAATGGTGAAAGATTGTAAAACTAAAACATTGGAAAAATTGAGAAATCGTAAAGCCGAAAAATTGTAAATTAAAAAATTGAATCATTGAAACATCAAAAAACTGAGAAATCGAAAAACCGAAAAATTGAAAAACTGAAAAATCGAGAAATCAACACAACGAGAAATGTCAAAATATCGAGAAACAGAAAAATCGATGAATTGGATCAATAAATTGAAAAATCGAAAACTAAGAAACACCAAAAATTGAAAAATTTTAAATCGAAATATCTAAAATTAAAAATTGAAATATTCAAAAATTTCAAATCTGAAATATCAAACTACTGAGAAATCAATAAATCGAAAAATCCCAAATCTTAAACATAAAAAAATGAGAAATCGAGAAGACGAAAAATATGAAACTTAAAAACCCGAAAATTGAAAAATCATTAAGCTGAGAAATCAAAAAACTGAAAATTGGAAAATCGAAAGATTGAAGAATTGAAAAACTGAAAATTCGAGAAATCGATTAATCTTGAAATCAA